GTTGACAAGATAGCAAAGTCAGTTCTTAATTATTGACATTTTTAAAGATATAAGCTCATCTCGATGTTACACTCATCAAGAGCTTTTATTTGAGTACCCACATGCATTTTTTATATATTTTTCATATATAATAATATATAAATATATAAAATATATGAAAAATTGATGTGGGTACTCAAATGAAAGGTCTCGATGAGTGTAATGTCAGGGTGAGCTTACATCTTTAAAAATATCAATAATTCACAAGATACAAGGTCATTTCTTAATTATGTTAAATTGCACTGTACTTTCTTAACTATTGAAGTTTTTAAAGATATAAGCTCATCCCGATGTTACACTCATCAAGAGCTTCCATTTGAGTACCCACATGCATTTTTTATATATTTTTCATATATACATATATATATAATATATAAATATATAAAATATATGAAAAATTGATGTGGGTACTCAAATGAAAGGTCTCGATGAGTGTAAGGTCAGGGTGAGCTTACATCTTTAAAAATGTCAATATTTCACAAGATACAAGGTTGTTTCTTAATTATGATAAATTGCTCAGTACTTTCTTAACTATTGACGTTTTTAAAATTCAATTGAATTAAACAAAAAATAATTCGATTAATTTTCTCAAGATCATAAAAAAAAGTAATTAATTGTTTATATTATTTTATTAACATAAAAAAAATGATTATATAATTACATTTAATTTTGCAACTATTAAAGCTATTGATTCAATCTGTGATGAGTCAAAAGAGCAACATCAACAATAGCTTCAGGTTGAAGTAATTCGTTAGCTTTATATTTACCCGATTCTTCGTAGGCATACGTAACTGATGTGTCTGTTAATAAAATATTACAAGTTGAGAGTATAAGTACACAATTTCGCAATCTCGCGCAAATTTCCCGGTCTTCGTGCGCTACACGGGTCAAATCTTGAGTGAACCCACCCTCAGACTTGTCAGCGCTCTGAGAGCTGGCGCCAATCCAAACGTAGCCGTTGTTACCGAGAATCAGAGTCGCGCCATTAGCTAGATGATGGAAGTGAGTCTTCTTGCGCTTAATCAGCGCCGGCGGTACTTTAACCATCACTCCCTGGGATAACTTGCCGTATTTTAGGACTCGGGTGTGCAAAGACAGTGACCCGTCTTGGTAAGTACTCTGTACTTCGGCACAAATCAAATCGCCTTCTTGGAGATAACGACGCATCGTTTGTTCATCTTCTGCTGATCTCCTTCTCTGGAAATTTATTTTATTTTAATTAAAAAAATTAATATAAATAATTTAATTCATAATATTAAAGTTAGCCGACGTTTTTAATTTTTTGATTATTTTTCATTTATTAAATTAGAACTAAAAAATATTTTTAAAAAATTACACTTATAGTTTTTCAAGTTTTTTACAAATGAAATTTTTTTTTAATTTTTTTGTAATGATTTTTTCAATAAAAAAAAAAATTCTAGAAATTTTTAGATGTTGGCTAACTTAATTTTCATTTTAATTAAATTGTTTGAAATGAGATTAAAGTTAGCAGCCACTTAATAATTTTTTTTAACAAATAAATTTGTTCAGGAGAATAATTTTTAAAAAATTGCATTTTTAATTTTTTAAAATTTCTACATGTGATTTTTTTCCCATAACTTATTTCTTAAAAAAATTATTAAAATTTAATAAATATCTGCTAAATTAATTTTTAATCGTTTGAAAGCTTACCAATTCTCCTCCCGGTAAATTAACACTTGACAAAAGTAAAACAGAGTCAAGTTTTGAGTTAGTGTCAACCTTCCAACGACTCTGTTGAACTTCTGTGATTCTACCAACAATAACATCACCAATTTCACCCTGGTATCTAGCTTTCAGAGGACGGATTGTTATTAATTTGTTTACTTTTTCCAGTATTCCAGCTACTGATGCTCTCAAACATTCATCTTCGTCTACATATGTACCATGACCTCTAAAAAATAAAAAATAAAATTATTGATACTGAATTTTTTTATTAAAAATTAATTTTATAAAAAATAAATACCTTAGATAGTCTGTTTGAGTCAATACACCTTCTCCAGGAGTATAAATACGAGGTTGAATATTATCTCTTGATATTAAATTAGTATCTATACGATTTACTGCTAATCTTATATTTATTTCAGGATAATCAGCCATTGTTGATAAAATATTTATTTAATTGATGATAAACAAATGTTGTATGTTGACAATTTCGGAGCAAGTGTTGAAATTAACCTAAAAAATATTTTTTTTTTTTTACCGCGCTGATATAAACTTATGTTATTGATTTAATTGCTCACTAGGGGGCGACAAAGGCCAAACCATGTGCTGGTTTAATTTTTAGGTTATAAACTTATATTTTTGTTACAAGTGTCAGATGGTTTTAGTTTGGTGATTTTATTTAAAAGTAAATCAAGGTAAATAATAAAAAAAATTAATCAAAATTAATTGATCAGATATTTAATAATTTTAAGAATTTTTGGAACAAATAAATTATGATAAAAAAAAATTATGGTCACTTGACTATTTTTTAATAAATAAATTTGTTCCAAAAAATTATTTATAAATAATTGCATTTTTAATTTCTACATGTCAATTTTTTTTCTGATTTATTATCATAATTTAGTTATTAAAAAAATTATTAAATGTCTGTTAAATTAATTTTCATAAAAAAATTGACATGTAGAAATTAAAAAAAAATAAAAAATGCAATAATTTTTAGAAATAAAGTTGTTAATTAAATAAAATAAAAAAAATGATCAAGTATCTGCTAATTTTAATGCAATAAAAAATTATTTAATTTATTTTAAATGTTTCAATTGATAATAAATTAATTTCTTAAATATTATTTCCAGACATCTGTTAAAATGAGCGAATTCATAGTAACAAAAGCTGCTCAGTTGAAAAAAAATGCTGAAAATAATTTTGTAGCCGTAAATTACACCGCTCCGAAAAGAAAAAAACCTATTGCTGACATAGATAAAGATACAAGTCACAATCAAGAACAATCCCCAGAAGAAGAGGACCAAGAAAAAGAAATGAAACGTCTGCGGTGGGAAGTTTTGAAATTTGGATCTTCAGGACTTGCTGGTACAGATAAAAAAAAATCCAAAGTCGCTCTGGCTATTTCTTTGGGAGCCAAGCCGCCGAAAAATCGACGAATGAATTACAAAAATCTCAAGTTAAAAAAGAACAAAGAGAAGGAAGAAGCTGCTAAGGAAAAATTGGAACAAGAACATCAATCTGGTTTGACCAACAGCTTAAAAAAGACGACGAAGAAGAAGTGGGTACAAAAGGACAAAGGAATTCTGGGAGTCTATGGAAAGGTTTCTAAAAGTTCAAGAGACAGGAGGAAATGAAAAAAGCAGTAATTTAAATAGTATTATTTGCTCACATGATTTACAACATTTATTTTCGTTTTTTTATCTATTGCTATTGGTAACATTCAACTATATCACCTTGTTGTAGACTACGCAGCATATAACGAGTAATAAAATAATATTTATGTATTTATATATATATTTATCAATAATAGAATTGGGCTTACAAAAAATTACCCTCATCAAAGTCAACGATAAAAACGTTATCTCTGTATCCTTTAAAATGTTTTTTTTTTTTTTCTTTCTTAATAATCTTTAATCTCCAATTAATAAAAATACAAAATAATTATTGATTTTATATTTATGTCTGTATGTATGTAAGTATGTATATAGTTATATAATATAATTTATATTCAATGCCACAGTGGAATGATTCGGCACCAAAATATTTAATTATATTATTTTGTGATTCTGTATTTTATATTTATCAATATATAAGAAGAATCAATCGTATGAGGCGGCTGTTGGTGCCACCTCCAATAACATCTGAAGAAAAACGTTGACCCCTTCTGAAATATAAGTTAAATATTTAGTGAATAAATTTATTATAATTATTTGTAGTTATAATTTAAATTATTTTTGGAATTTTAGTTGTTTCTATAATTTCCAAGCGTCAAAAAAAATTGTTGACTTTTTGGAAGATTTTATTCAGCAAGAAGTAAAAAATTGTCAACTTAAATTCAACAAAATATCAAAAAAAAATTTTTATGTCGCTTGGGAAGTAATCAGTAAATACTAGTTTAGAAAGTACTTATATTATAAAAACATACCCATAAATTTGGGTACATATCCATATTTGACAAACGGGAGGTAGAAAAACATGCCAGCAGCGATAAATCCCGCGGCATACAGATACTCAATCTGAGGCTTATCAATTATTGGGCCAACTATCAGGTACATGGAAATTCCTAGCACAAATATTGGTATAACAAGCGGACATTTGTAAGGACGAGGATGATTAGGTCGTGTCTTGCGCATAACTAGTAACGCGAGCATCGCACCTCCGTAGAATATCCATGCAGTGAAGGAAAAGAAGTCAATTAGTGAGTTGATGTTACCAGACAACACCATTGCGGCTGAAAAAAATTTTAGTAATTAGAAACGTTTAACTCAAAACATGTAATTTGAGACTTTTTTTATTTTACTGGTCTAGGTATGTAATATACTAATTAGTTACCTGCCACTAAAGAGTGAAAAATAAGCCCAGGTGCTGGGGTAAAACGTCGAACGTGAACATAACTTAGACAGTCAAGAAGATGACCTTGTCGTGAGGCAGCGAAACACAGTCTTCCAGCAGCGAAAAGGGTTCCGTTTGCTGATCCAAAGGTACTTACAGCTACTGAGAAGGGCATCAGCCAAGCCACTACTCCAAGAATACGATTCCCGAAGGTCTACAATAATAATATTTTAATTAATTATTTATTCAATTGTTGTAATAACAATTAATATTGTAAACTGAAAGTTTACATTATTGACAATTTATAAAAATTAATTGTTGATTGCAACTATTAATTAAATCATTGACATTTTATAGATTTTTAGAATTTTTAATATAAATATATTTTGATAAAAAATTGCCACTTAAAATTTTTAAAAATTACATTAAAGTTAGCTGACTAATTTTTAATTTTTTTAACAAAATTATTTTTTAAAAATTGCATTTTAGAACCTTTCAAATTTCTACTTGTCAATTTTTTTTGCTATAATTTATTTGTTACAAAAATTATTAAATATCTGCTAAATTAATTTTAATTTTTAACAAGTGAAATTTTTAAATTATAATTTGTTATAAAAATCTAAAAAATAGTGTCTAAATTTGAGTATAATAATTTTAACAAAGTATTTATTTTATGCCAACTAGGAGACTTACAACTGCTACAGCTTCACTTTCAATCATTTCCATGGGTGACATGACAGCCAGATAAGAAAGATTAATAAGAGCGTAGCATACGGTGACAAGAGGAATTCCGATCATAATAGACCTGGGTAAATTTTTGGAAGGATCTTTAATTTCTTCCGTAACATAATTAAGATTGTTCCATCCATCGTAAGCCCAAAGACCGGTATAAAATGCAGTCGCAAGTCTTCCGATAGTCAGGGTGTCGGTTTCATCTAACATTTTAAATGCACCTTGCAGATGTTGAGTATTGCCTTTGGCAAGTGACCACGAGCCACCGGCTATTACGACAAGTATAGCAATGAGCTTGGCAGCCGTGAAAGTGTTTTGTACGCCAGTCGCAAGATTAACGCTGTAACAATTAATGAGCAGAATAACCGTGATTGCAAGAAGCCCGACGATTTTAACAAGATGTTCTGGCGGTTCGCACTCCGCGGCAAATGCTTCAACAGCGTACTGGGCAAACGAGAGGCATATTATCGCCATCTGCGAGGGCTTGAGAACGAGCGTCGATGTCCAGGAGAATAGAAATGCCGGTGGTGCTCCAAATGCGTCCATAAAATACGCGTACTCAGCCCCGCTGCTGGTGTTCATCGTACCTAGTTCAGCATAAGCTAACGCTCCGCACAAACTCAGTACTCCGCACGCGGTCCATACCAGGAAACTCATGCCGACGCTGCCAGTGCGGATTAACAAACCCGTCGGCGATACGAATATTCCTGAACCGATCATGGTCCCGACAATTAAAGCCACCCCACTGACGAGTCCCACCCGTCTCTTGAGGTGAACAGGGTCGTTCGTCTCTGGGTCCTTCCCCTCCAGCCCTCCGCGCCTTCCACCCCCGTCTTCGTCATCCCCCAGACAAGAAGCCAGTTCATTGCTTTTGCCTTGTGTCGAGCTGCTCCTACGAAGCCGCCATCTGTTCCTGTTTCCTGATAAGTTGTCTTGCGTCGGCGATGCGCTCCCCGTTTCTCCGATGCTTCCTGGTTGTTTTGACAGTGTATCCGTGGTCTCGCCATTTCGCGTTTCTTGCTCGTATCCCACGTTTGCTAAAAAAATAAATTACATTTAAATATTTCATTAACTATCAGTTATATTCTATCAATTTGTGATTATCAATTATCAATTACTAAAAAATTTTTTTTTCTTGTTTTATTTTTTTCTTCTTTCAAATTAAAAAAAAAAATTTTCGTTTTTTATTTTTTTTCTTGTTTTGTTTTTCTCTTCTTTCAAATTAAAAAAAAAAATTTTTTTCTGGTTGTTTTTCTCTTCTTTCAAATTAAAAATAAAATTTTTTTTAATTTCTTAAACCTATGTTCTCTTTATAAATAAATAAATAAATAAATAAGTAAATAATTACAACACTGTACTCTTGATAATAAAAGACTCATTTATAATAAATGCACTAACTTATTACTATCAAGAATTAAATGTAAAAGTCTGTACTCTAAAAAACTTACAAATACAAGATCTAAGTTGCTATTACTACCAAAAATTAACAAAACTATTTAGTACACAGAATTTTTATTATATATCAATTAAATATTATAACAAATACCTTACTGATATGAAAACAATAGATTATAATAAAAAAAAAAGTTAAGTAAATGGATAAGAAACCTTAATGGTTAATATGCTTAAAAAATGTGTTGGAAAATGTGAGTATTTAATTTAATATTTCTTCTTCTGATAATTATTTATAATTTTGTATTTTTATTTTTTAATTCTCTAAAAATTTATTACTTTTTGTACTTATTATCTCTTTGCATTGTATTACCGAAATTTTTTATACTGGTTCTATACACATCAGGTGTTTTTACACCTTGACAGAATTCCTTACCAGATAGATAAATTTTTAATTTTAATTTACAAAATTTTTTTATCACTTTTAAATTATATAAAAAAAAAATAACAAGTAAGTATTTAAATAAATAAATAATAAAAAATAATTAATAAAAACCTAATATTGTTTCAGGCTGAACGCGAGTTAGCGAAAGAGCAGAATTGGCTGATGTGTGATACATTCCTCTAACTACTGATCGACAACAGCCGGGACGGCTAAAATCATTTGTTCATCAAGCGTAATACAATTCAGCATATTTAGTTGTTGTATTTTTGTTAAGCAGCTCTCCCTCTCTCTGTCAGAATGTTACATCAAATTTCACCTTTAAATAATACAAACTAAATGCTAAAAATATTTTTTATAGTTTCTCACTAGTTTTGTTAAAAATTGATCTAAGCATTGATCGTCGCCAGTTTCTCTGGGTACCTTCTATTTGTTCAAGGTAATACGTTTAATCGATTAATTTTTAAATTTAACATTTATATTTATTTAACTTGCTGTCAAGAATTATTATTAATAATTACAATCAGATATAATTTATCTAACAGTAGTAACTTGTAACTAAATTAATTTTTTGGCCGTATCTTGTATTAAAGTTAGTCGTAACCGTGACATTGACGTACACAAGCACCTTGGCGTATACTACTTGCCATAATAATCGCGCTTAGCTTTACTTTACCCAGACAGACAACCGCTTAAAGTTATTGGCTTAGATTTTTCGAAACCACGAAATTAGGGTAGCTCCATATTTAACTGTCTCGTGACGTGTGTGCGTAATAAAATGTATACGTCATTTTATTTTAATTTAATTCAATGAATAATCCAAATCATTTGAAGATTATTATCACATGCTATAAAATTTATGAAAATTAATTTAACAGATTTTTGATTATTTTTTATGAAAATTTAGTTAGCCGAGATTTAAAAATTTTTTAATTTTTTTTTTTTTATTTAAAAAATGACTAAAAAAAATTACATTTGTAAAAAACTTTAAAAACTGTAAGTGCAATTTTTTAAAAATATTTTTTTGTTCTAATTTGATTATTAAAAAAAAATTTTAAATGTCGACTAACTTTAGTATCATTTTTTAATGAAAATTAAAGGAGCCGACATTTAAAAATTTTTTTTTATTGAAAAAATGACTAGAAAAAAAATTACATTTGTAAAAAACTTTAAAAATTATAAGTGCAATTTTTTAAAAATATTTTTTTGTTCTAATTTAATTATTATAAACGTCGGCTAAATTTAGTATCATTTTTTTATGAAAATTAAGTTAGCCGACATTTAAAAATTTATTAATTTTGCTTTATTGAAAAAATGACTAGAAAAAAAATTACAGTTGTAAAAAACTTTAAAAACTATAAGTGCAATTTTTTAAAAATAATTTTTTTGGAAAAAATCTATTTAAAAAAAAAAAAAAATTAAAAAATAATCAACTTTAATGTAATAAAATTAATTATCAAGAAAAAACTTACAATATACATCACAACTTCAATAAATAGATATTTAAATGATGATTGTGAGGTAATTTGATACGTCTCATATTAATCCGTATATTTATTGTCTTAAAAATTTTATTAGTTGTTCTACACGTGTCAACATTTTTTATTGGCTAAACGCTCTGTCAATTAATCAATGTTAAATATATCTTGATACTTTTTTTCATTTTGCTAATTGATAATGCAACAGACCAAAATTGGATGGACTCGTTCCAAGAAGAAGAAGAAGAAGTTGTTGTTGAAATAAAAAACAAAATAAAAAAACAACAGATAGAATTTAACCATCACATGAGTATGACTATTTTTATGTAACTCGGGGGCGGCTGATTTAAATATACTTATGAGCTTCTATTTAAATGAATAGAAACAACTGGTGAGTTAACTTAAGAGCTGTCTACGCTTCATGCTTATTGATTGATTAATTGATTGAATTTTTACATTTATTTATTATTTATTAATAGCCTTATTTATAATTTTTTTTTTTTTGCTTACAGACAATGAATTATTATTAGCACTACGGCAATATTGGAAGAAATATCATCAGTGATTTTTAAATAAGATGACGCAATTGTACTCTAAGCCTCGTGGTAATAGAGAGCATGTTATTGCATATGATTAAATAATTTTATAATACATTACTCGTGTAAAGAATTATACGTTGGTGCTATACGAGTGAATAGATCATTGATCGTTCTATAAAAATACTTATAAAGAAGCTATATTTTTTTTGCATAAAAAACTTTACAATTTATGAATTAATAATGAAGAAAAAAATAGTTATTACTTATAAATTATAAGTATTAAGTGTATAGTGATTTTGTATCAAGTATCGAGCATTTAATCAATTGAATTCAAGGTGAATGAGTAGTGCCAGACTAATCGCGTAGTATTAATCAACCTATTGTCTGGCGTGAATTTAATCAGTGATTGTAATTAATTTGTTACAATGTATTTTTGGTGATTAACTGCTCTACATTCAATCAAACACGTGTTCTATTGTTTAGGTGCATGTAAATGATTGTAATTGTATGATATAAGCGGCTGTTACGTATATTTTAAAAAGCGCGCAAGTCCAACGACGTTCAAGCTACTTTACTCCATTCATGGTAAGTTAACTTGAACTTTAATCAAAATAAAAATAATAAACAAAACAAAATTGTAATGTTCACGCGATATTTATTAGACAAAATTGGATTGATTGAAATGGCGTCAAAGCGCTCTGATATATTAACGGAAGGCGTATTTAATAACGTGAGAAATAATTTATGTGCATGTCAACTAATTAATTAAAAAATAAAATGAAGAAAATTCTTTATCTTAATTACTAAATAATAATAAAGTTAGCCGACATTTTTGATTTTTTTATTAAATCATAACTAAAAAAATATTTTTAAAAAATTGCACTTGTAATTTTTTAAGTTTTTAACAAATGAAAAAATTTATTTTTTTTTTTAAATTCTTTAATAAAAAAAATTATAAAAATTTTTAGATGAATAATTTTATTTTTATACTAGTTACTATTTTTTTATTTTGCTTAATTTATTAAATTATAACTAAAAAAAATATTTTTAAAAAATTACACTTGTAATTTTTTAAGTTTTTGACAAGTGAAAAAATTAATTTTTTTTTTTTAATTCTTTAACAAAAAAAAATCATAAAAATTTTTAGATGTCGGCTAACTTTATTTTTATACTAGTTACTAGATATTATAAATAAGTGAACAATTAAAAGCAATTACCTCGTTTGAAGGGCGCGACATGCATGACTCTACGTAGGACAGATAAGAAGGGCGGATTGTGAAACCGCCTCTCATGACACCTTGACGACTTTTAAAAATTCTAGCTTCTTTTTTCCTTAACTTTAGATTATTATCTTCGATGATAATTATTCGTTGTTTTATTTTTTTATTTAAATAAAATAAAATGATCACAGTTTTGATATTATTACGCAGTAGATAATAAATAATTACCTGCAGAAATTTATCAAGCACAAATTTAAGTAAACTTGTGCCTTAACATTTGATTTATTAATTGTAATAATTGCCAAGTAAAAAAAATAAAAATAAATAATTCTGCAGATAAATATTTTCTTATTTTTTAATTTTTATGTTTATCAACTATTGCTTCGTTTCAAATAATTATTACTAATTATTCGTAAAAGGTAACAATAATACTTTCGTGTTATGTGATTGGAAGCACACACGGAAATCAAGTAATAAGAATGAAAACTCGCGGCAAACTGGGAGTTATTACTCGCCAGAAGAATATAATAAGTTAATATCAGCGTGGTCTTTAAACATTTAAAGACGATGTACAATCTTCTTCTGTGGCAGATGTTATACTGTCTACCGGGCCGCACTCGCTGGCTACTCTTCAGCGTCGGCGTAGATATGTCCACCCATGCCGCTCGATATTTACGCTCTCGCTCGCGCATAAAACCTTTACTCTTCAATTCAATCCATTACACACCCCTATAATATAATATATTCTTCATATTAATAAAAGGGACATTTTTATTGATATTAATTTATTAATTATCAAATTAACGCTTAGTGCTTTAATATAATCTATATTATTAAGAGAATGAGAAAAATTTTGTGACCGATGTATTTATATGATAAAAAGGGTTTTTATGCTTAAATTTTGTATCATTAGAAAGGTCTTGACTTGGAATTGTGCCTTTTCAAGGTTTCATATGATTCTCACCAATAGTCAATTTATAATGATAAATATTTATGCTGCGTTTGAAAATGCTCTATCTCTAGATACCTAATTAAAAAATGACCTTGTATCTCGTAAACTATTGACATTTTTAAAGATATAAGCTCATTCCGATGTTACACTCATCAAGAGCTTTCATTTGAGTACCCACATGCATTTTGATATATTTTTCATATATACATATATATATAAATATATGAAAAATTGATGTGGGTACTCAAATGAAAGCTCTTGATGAGTATAACATCGGAATGAGCTTATATCTTTAAAAACGTCATTAGTTAAGAAAGTACAGTGCAATTTAACATAATTAAGAAACTACCTTGTATTTTATGAACTATTGACATTTTTAAAGATATAAGCTCACCCCGATGTTACACTCATCAAGACCTTTCATTTGAGTACCCACATCAATTTTTCATATATTTATATATATTATATATATGTATATATGAAAAATATATCAGAATGCATGTGAGTACTCAAATGAAAGCTCTTGATGAGTTTAACATCGGAATGAGCTTATTTCTTTAAAAATGTCAATAGTTAAAAAAGTACAGTGCAATTTAACAAAAGTAATTATTTAATAAAGAAAAATTTTATTTATTTATAGTTCCCAAGTCCCGGCAGTCACATAGTGACTGCAATGTTGCTAGTTAACATAAACAAAATTAAATAAAACGATTGCTTTGTAACACAATTACTTTAATTTATTTATCAATGAACGCATTATCTATTACTCAATAATAGAGTTAATCGCAATGTTGACATTAATTAACTATGCTACTGATTTCTTACATATCTTTATATTTAAATATATATAGTGTCTCTTGTTTAATTCATTAGCACAATATTATTATTATTCCACAATGATATTTATATATTTAGATACCCATCATAAAAAAATACTTACAATAGTTATAGTAAAAATAACTGAAAATGTTTTTTCAACAATTGTTTACAAGACAAGCAATAACAATGGACGTAAAGAAAACAAAAACACTTTCTTGGACACTTTTTCACCTTATTTGTTTTTCTTCTTTTTCCTCCAATTCATTCTTTCTTCTTTAATTACTTTCACCACTGTTGTAGTTAATCTCTTCTTGTGTGTATTTTTGGGAATGTTTTTTGAATAATAATTTTTTCTAGCGAGCAGCAATGAAGTAGCGGTAAATTACAGTTGCCAAAATACCCAGAGCGACAGGAATCAGCCATGAACTCCAGGAACCACTGGAATTTCCAATCACATCAGCATACAGCAGCGACTATTCGTATTTTATATTACATTTGATTTTTAAAATAAATAACTTAATTAATTTTTATTAATAATTTAAGTTAAAGTTAACCATTTGACTCTTCTTGTTAAGCATATGAAAAAATAGGATTATTAGTAAAAAAATATTAATCAATTAATGACACAGAAGTTGTCAGATATTAAAAATTTTTTTAGAATTTTTTGGCAATTTGATTATTATAAAAAAAAAAATATTTAATTAAAAAGTTCCACATGTGAAAATTAATATAAATTATAAGTGAAAATTTTTAGAAGCATTTTTTTATTGTAAGGTAAAAGACCCAGTTATTGACACTTGCAATTTTATTCTAATTAAAAAAATTAAATGTTCTTAATCTAAAATTACAATCAATGAAAATTAATTAATTTAGCAGATATTTAATAATTTTTAGGACTTTTGTTAACAAATAAATTATGGCAAAAAAAATTGACATGTAGAAATTTAAAAATATCAAAAATGCAATTTTTTAAAAATTAATTTAATTGTTAAATAAAATTAAAAATTTGTCAAGTGACAGCTAACTTGAATCTCATCGAGCGATGAAAATTAATTTAATAGATATTTGATAATTTTTTTAACAAAAAAATTATAGCAAAAAAAAATTGACATGTAGAAATTTAGAAAAAATAAAAAAGTGCTTTAAAAATAATTTTTTGGAAAAAAATCTATTTGTTAAAAAAAATTAAAAAATCGTTAAGTGACAGCCAACTTTAATGTCATCAAGTGTCAATAATTAGGCGAGTGTCAGTAACTGGGTCTTTTACCTTAATTAATTTAAAAAAAAATTTTTTTAAATTGACAGCTGATGGCTAGCTTCAGTATCATATCAATTACGAGTTTCGATAATTATTGAAGCTAATAAATCAATAAATAAATATAATATATAAATACCTGGGTTCATCACTGTCTCCACTACTTGCCCAGTTATTATTTTTTTTCTTATCATATGAATTATCTCTTTCTTCCTGTAATTAAGTTTAAATTAACACTATAACTCATTATTGACCTATAAAACGATTACTCAAAATAGCTAACTACTTTTTGTTTTAATAATTTTGTAAAAAAACAGAAAAATAATAATGACATTTAATTTAGCTGTCATTTGACAATTTTTTAATTATCTTTAACAAAAAAATTATTTTTAAAAAATTGCATTTTTAATTTATTAAAATTTCTACAAATTCATTTTTTTAATAATTTATTTTTGTCATAATTTATTTATTAAAAAAATTGTGAAGCTAAATTTAATGTCATAAAATAGTATTGATATTATTTGTTTACAAAAATAGATCTTGGAAGTTACTTTGAGTATCGTTAAAAAAAAAAATGAAATTTATTAAATCACCTCAACAAGTTCGCCGACTTTGTATGGTTCCATCATTTGTCTAGCATCACTTGAGTGTCCTACGTCTTCAAATGGTTCTGTACCGTCTTTACCTGCCTGCTCAAGTAAAACTTCTTCCCCTCCGGGATGCTATTGTAAAAAAATAGAAAATATTGCAACGTCACCAAATTTAACGAAACAAGTTCGTAGATTATAAAATATGGAGTCAGAAATATGTCAATTAATATAATTAATAAAAAAGTAACACTTACTTCATTTAAAAATTTAGTAACGTCATAAATGCTGTTAAGGATAATAAACCATGTACTTTTGCTGTCATTATGTGTAGCTACTTCAGCACGAGAATAAAATTTAATAGTTGAAGGAGTTGATGTACTTGCTGGAGTCTCCATTATTAGTTAGTTAGTTAGTTATTTATTTATTTATTTATTCAGTAAATGGCGTGATAAAAAATTTATTTTTATTTTAAAATTTTATTAATGAATTGCTTGTTAATAAAAATTTACTGCTAAAAATCGAACACGTTTTAGTCTTTAGTTTTCAAGCCCAAATGTGAAATCAAAAGAATTTTATCTCAACTTAACTGTCCGATTTCTTGAATCATCTGGGCATTTTAACTGTAGCTTGATAGAAGTAACTATAGAGTAAAAAGAGCGCCACCTGCTCTGGGAAGTGACAAGCTTAAGCGCAGATTCAAATTTATCTTTCAAGGCGGTCTCTGTTTTTGATGATAAAAAAAAATGACTAGAGATTTGTCATTGGTGCCAATAAAAATAAAATAAAAACAAAAAATTGTCAGCTGTTAAAAACATTTTTGTATATGATAATAAACAAACGAATAAAATCATAGCGACAGTTCAAATAATTTATTTGTTAAATGTCAGTTATTCTAAATTAACTAGTTTTTTTAGATAAATATTTATAAAAGTAAATATGAATTCATCATCAATATTTTTTATTTTATCTTTTATTTTTGTTAATCAAGTAAATTGTTATAAATTTTGGTGGATAATTGAGTCAGCGGTTGATTTGATAAAATGTCCTTTGGAAGATTGTTGCAATGACTATTATATACCTCAAAATATTACAGGTAATTTTTATAATTATTATTTTGGATTTTATAAAAATTGAGAAACATTAAACAATTTTTTAAAAAATAAATTATAGTAAGAATGATTTATCAAAAATTCCATTTTTATACCCTAAAAAAATTATGGCATTAAAGTTAGCAGTCACTTGACAATTTTTTAATTTTATTTATCAAAAAAATTTGTTCCAAAAATTTATTTTTAAAAAATTGCATTTTTTATTTTTTAAAATTTCTACATGTCAATTTTTTTTTTTTGCCATAATTTATTTATTATAAAATTTTAAAAATTATAAAATATTTGCTTAAATTAATTTTCATAAAAAAATTATAAGTGCAATTCTTTATAAATAATTTTCTAAACCTAGTTTATTGTTAAAAAAAAAAAGTTGTAAAGTGTCTGCCAATTTCAATGTAATTTTTTTTATTTATTCTTATTTTTAATTAAATATTTTAGGATTGCGTAAAGAGTTGGACAATAATCTTTTCGGTCAACACATTGCCCAAGATGCAGTAATTAGTGCATTAGCTGCACATATTGCGATAGAAAATCCTCCAAAAGCTCTGGCAATGAGTTTTCACGGTCTGGCTGGTACTGGAAAAAATTTTGTCGCTAGAATAATAACAAATAATTTTTTTATGAGAGGCACCTTGAGCCAGCATTTTCAAGTCTATACAGGAAGAATAGAATTTTTGCTACAGGACCAAATAAATTTATATAAGGTATATTAATATAATTTTAAATTTAATAAAAAAATCTTTATTTCATAATCATAATTAATATTTTTTTTTTACAGGAATTATTAGTGGAAAAAGTAGCAGAAAGTCTTTTAAAATGTCCCAAGTCATTATTCGTTTTTGACGAAGTGGATTTAATGATCCCAGGTCTCCTTGATGTTTTAGTGCCATTTTTAGACCACGGTCCTGTTCGTGTCCCTTACAAAGGAACAAAACAATCCGTTCCTACAAATAAAGCGATTTTCATATTCCTATCCAACACCGGTAGTCATGAAATAGCCAAAGCACTTGTAGATTTACGCAGCCAGGGAAAAAACCGTGAAGAGACGAGACTCGAGGACTTTGAAAGTTTAATTGCCGTGGGAGCTTTCAATGGGAAAGGTGGATTGCATCGCAGTGACACTATCAGTACTAGTTTAATCGACCACTATGTGCCTTTTTTGCCTCTTGAAAAGCCGCATATCAGACAGTGCATCAAAGCGGCATTCAGGTTGAGAGAAATTGATCCCAGTGAGGAGCATATAGAGGAAGCCATGTCTCATGTTACTTTCGGAGACAAACCTTATGATCTCTACGCTAAAAACGGGTGCAAAAGAGTTGATCAGAAAGTCGCAAGCATTGTTTACAAAATAACTAAATCTAATGAACTAAAGTCGCATAAAGAATTGTGAATAAAATATATTTATTTATTTTTTTTTTTTGTGATAATTTTTCAATAAATATTTTTTTTTAATTTTTAATAATCTAAAATTAAGATTTGGTGATGTTAAAATTTTTGAATTAAATACAGAATATCCTGTTGGTTGATTTTTTATTGTGTAGTACCAACACGGCGTGATTAAAAAATCTATGGCATACGAATGTGTGTATGTGTGCATATGCACATTTGTGACACATCACATACATACGTACATGCAAAAAAAATCAATTGTCGGTGCTTACAAAACTTATTTTATACGCTAATAATCATTGATTTTTTTTAATATTTTAATTTAAATAATGAATACTCGTACAATAATTGGGATTATTTGTATTTTCTTTACATGTAATGTTAATTGCTTTATTGATCCAATAACTGGTGGTGCTATTGCTGCCGGCTTTGGCTTGTTTTTGGGATTCAACAAGATAAAATGCTCGTTTTCAGAGTGTTGTGATAAAGAGTACATTCCTCATGATATTGGAAGTAAGATTTATTATTTTTATTACTGTATTGTTCTTGTGTTGGAAAAACATAAATATCATGAATTAATGATCTTAATTTTTTTTTGTTTGCCATAATTTATTTGTTAAAAAAATTCTAAAAATTATTTAATATCGGCTAAATTTATTGCAAAAAATTAAAACAAAAATTCCAGACTTGGAAAATTCAAAAAACAATACGTGCAATTTTTTTTTTAATATTTTAGTTTTAATAATTCAATTAATTTAAAAAATTGTTAAAAGTCTACTAATTCTAGTATTATAGTAAATTTAAATTAAATTAGCCGACATCTAAAAATTAAAAAAAATTTTTTTTTAACAAAATTATGACAAAAAAAATTTTATTTATAAAAAAACTTGAAAAACTATAAGTGAAATTTAATACAAATGTTTTTTTTTTTTTTTTTTTTTTTTTTTATAATTTAATAAATGAAAAAAATTAAAAACGTCGGCTAACTTTAGTATTATTTAAAAATGAATATTAAAATTAATACTTATTTACAGGACTCAATGAGCAACTTGAAGAAAAATTATTTGGGCAGCATATAGCTCATGATGTTGTAACAAGTGCTTTACGTGCTCACATTAGATCAGAATATTCTCCAAAAGCTCTAACAATGAGTTTTCATGGTACACCGGGTACAGGAAAAAATTTTGTAGCTCAAAATATCGTCAAATATTTTTATAAAGAAGGTTCTAAAAGTAAATACTATCACTTCTTTTCTGGAAGATTGAGTTTTCCTTTAGAAAAAGATACATTCATCTATGAGGTATGTTTAAATGTATTTTAAATGGGTGAAATTTAATATATTAATTAATAAAAAAAAATTTTAATAGGAAGACTTAAAAGAGACAATCATTAATAGTCTTCTGCAATGTCCAAAATCTTTGTTTGTCTTCGATGAAGTAGACATGATACCTCCACGACTTTTGAATGTGCTGGTACCTTTTTTAGAGTATGGAGAAGCGCCGATTTGGCACAGAGGTAGACGAATTTATATCGACAAAAACAGCGCTATATTTATATTCTTATCAAATACTGGAAGTCAAGAGATTGTTGAAACTTTACACAACTTGTGGCAGAATGGACGTAAACGAGAAGACACAAAGCTCTCAGACTTTGAAGAATTAATTTCTAGAGGAGCTTTCAATGAAAAAGGCGGCTTTCATAAAAGTGACACAATAAGTACGAGTTTGATTGATCATTATGTGCCATTTTTGCCACTGGAAACTGAGCATGTTGTTAAATGCATAAAAGCGGCTTTTTATAGTCACGGTAGAAATCCGACTAATCAGCAGATTGAAGATGTTATGAGCCATGTGACTTTCAGCGAGCCTGTTGGAATTTTTGCCAAAGCTGGATGCAAAAGAATCGAGCAGAAAGTTGCTCGTGCCATGTACACACGCTCGCAATAGTATTTTTCTTACCTGGGGCAGGAAAATAAGAAATGTCTCAGATTACATGTAATTGTTGACCGAGGCGAAGCCGGGGTCGACAAACATGTGATCTGAGGCTTTTCTTATTTCCTGCCCGTGGTGAGAATACTTACAATTTTCAAACATAAAAATTCTATAATTCATAAAATTTTTTATTTGAAATGCGACTTATTTGGTGGGGCAATAATTATCTGCCATTGTTTATCTATTTATAGTCACGTAGGACTCACAACGGGTACCATTTTACGTAGTACTCTACTGGTCAAGGTCAAATAATTTTCTGGACTTAAGATATCTCGATTATAATCATATCTCACATTTATAAGATATTCAAATACACGAATATCAATGAAAAAAACTGAGTAGTATTAACGCATTTGATATTTGTAAAAATAATCATCTTGTTAAAAATAAAAAAAAATTGTATTAAAAAACTTTTTTGTGTTCATCTGGATGTGCGATTAAAAGCCCTGATTTAATTTTTTTTAGTACATAAAAGCATTTGTTTTTCAAGCAGTCTCATTTCCAAGCAAAAATGAGTAACAATTATTTAACAGTTTCATTACTTGGTATTTAATGCCGAATATTTAACAACAATTCAAGTATTTTATGAGCGACATATTGTTACTTGACAGAATTGTCCGTTGATAATTGTGCTAAATTAAATATAATTTTTTTTTTTTTTAATTTATCTCTACGTTTTAAACGTCAACTGTCTGTCCAAGGACTAGTTTCAACAGTGATTTAAATGCGATTGCACAAAAAGACACGACTGCCTAATTTTAAAACACAGTAACTGTAAAATTTTTATACCTGATTTTTTTTAGGATTGCTGCATTTTTTTATAACTTTTAGACCTTAATTTCAAGTATTTTTTCTTAATTAAAAATATTTATATTCAGCTACTATTTAAATTTTTTTTCACCACAGATATCATGGAGCATAATCTGAGATGATATCCAGTGTCATCTTGTTCTTTCTGTGTTATGGCATCCGAGGTGGGTCCCGGGAGTCATAAGGGCGTATAAAAAAATATTTTTTTCGGGAATCAAGTTATTTTTGTATGAAACGTTCAAAAATGCAAAAAAAATTTTCTTCAAACTAAAAATTTTTTTTGGACTTAGAAAAAAAAAATAGAATTTTTATTATACACCCTTATGGTTCCCGGATGTCATAAGGGCGTATATTTTCTATTAATAAATCAAATTTTGTTATCAATTTGGCGCGCAAATTTTTTTTTTAATAAAAAAAATTTTTTTAAAATCTTAAAATTGTCAGTCACTGTGTTTTAAAATTGAGCTACCGGACATATTATCGCATATTTCTTTGGATGAGTGCTTGCCTAATTCATTAATTACAATATTTAATATTTTATTAATAAAGAAGCCGTGCAATCAAGTTGACTTGGAAGAACACTATTTAATAGTTTTATTTTTAATATCCATAGGCTATTCTTCCTCAACATATTCTTTCGGAAAAAATCCAACTTGATCAGCTATTTTACCCTTCCACCAGCCTTTAGCGTCGCCTTCTTTGCTCAGTACGACAACCCGACACCCCCGTCTTAGTGTCAATTGATTACGCTCGCCTGCGCGAAAATCAAAGAGTGCTTTGGCTAACACGCGTCTAAATGGCCATAGAAGCCGTTGATCCAAATTTTCGAAATTCTCCGACAAGGATGCACGCTCGTAGTACTCAACAAGCTCGACGACGCTCTTGAAGAATCGAGATTCGCTCAAATAGTACAGCTCCGTACCATCAACATCACGCTTGAAAACCCTTATGTGTTTAACAGCCCCATCAGTTCTGAAATAAATGTTTAATTTAATTTAAATATTTAAATAGTCGAGCAAAGGCCAAACTTTAAATGATTAAATTTATTTGAAATTTATAACAAAATATTTACTTGATACTCAAGGCGTAATTAGTTTCATGTTTTAATCGAGGTTGACCAGCAGGTCGTACTCGCAGCATGTATGTTCCATCCTCTCTGGCCTCAAGTTTATGTGCAGCCGCATCTCTTCCCATTTCGCCCACAAACCACAGCTTAACCGAGAGAGCACGGTCACACGGTAGAGGAGGAGGTAATGGTGGCGTGGGAGGTACTGGCATACAACGTCCGGAATATGATATGCATTGTTTGTGTACTGCCAAACGACATACATCGCAGCTATACCCCTATCAAAAGATATTTATCATTTAAACTTATGATTAAGCAGAAATTTATCTTTTGTAACACAAAACCGTTGTTAAATATTCAACATATTTCAAGGAGATTCGATCGCTAAACATGAGCCAATTTAATATTTATTAAAAAAAAAAATTAATAACTCAATTAAACTTTGCTAACCCAGTTAGCATAACAAATTGATACATATATTTATATTCTATAATATTTTACAACAATATAACTTAAAAAGTAGCGAACAATTTTTATCTGAAATTAATGGCACAGAAAAATTACTTTTTTTTGTACAATTACGCTGAATGTGAACTTCAATTATAAATGAAAATTAAGTTAGCTGACATTTCAAAATTTTTAGAAATTTTTTATTGAATAAATTTCAATTAAACAATTAAAAAAAAAAAAAAATTCACATGTAAAAAACTTAAAAAACTATAAGTGCAATTTTTTAGAAATGTCTTTTTAGGTGTAATTTAATTTAAAAAAAAAATCAAAAATTTTTAGACGTCTGTTAACTTATAAGCGATATCTTTTTTAAACTATTTTTTTTTTTTTAATAAACAATATATGAAAAAATGGTAAAAAATCATAATACTAAAGTTAGCCAACGATTTTAATTTTTTGATTTATTTTTTAATAATTGAATTAGAACAAAAAAATATTTTTTTAAAAATTGCACTTACAGTTTTTAACAAGTGAAATTTTTTTTTTATTTTTTTGTAATCATTTCTTCAATAAAAAAAATTCTTAAAATTTTTAGATGTCGTTTAACTTAATTTTCATTAAAAAATCACGACATTTTTTCACAACCTTCTAAAAAATGCAAATTTTTACTTTTTTTTTTTGGAATTGAGGTTCATATAGAAGATACACATATAAAAAAGTAATTTTTCTGTGTCATTAATCTCAGATAAAAATTGTGGCTTCCATACTGCACACTAGCTGCTATTTGTTAAGTTATATTGTTATTTAATACAAAAAAATATCTATAAAATAATCTGATAGTTTAAATAAATAATATTAATTTTTTATACCTTAAAAAAATTAATGAAAATCAGCAAGAATTTTTCTGGTCAAATTCAAGAATTTCATATTCTTCAAAATTATTTACTTAACTCAACTTAATTTTTTTTTTGTGCAGAAATAAAATTCAACTCACTTGAAAAATACGTCCTTTAAGAAACTTCCCACATCGCTGACAACTTCTAGCAGTCTCAAAAGTCATTAACCGAAATTTATGATTAGTAACACGACAAGCAGCAGGATTAACATTGTCCATAGCATCTTGCATAGCTTTCATCCACATTTGCTTCTGGTCCTCGGTGCGTGCGTAGAGTGTGTACGCAGTGTAGGCTTGTTTGTGAACCAATAACCACTGATAGGACCACCGAGAGTCTCGTCCGAGGATTCGCCGGCCCGTGTGGTCTTCAAGCCGATAATCATCAAGTCTAAGTGTTTCTCGATAGCAATATTGATCGCCTCTCCCGGCTTTGCACAGCAGAACGGCTTGTTCAAATACAAAAGCATAACGAGCTTTAACTCTTTGATCTCCGTGTGCTTTTACTTTGAGCTCGCCGTCTCTCAATAACCGACCAAAGTCTTTGAGCTGCGTACCATCGCTTACGTCCCAGTCGACAATAGACGCTTGAATATCTTTTATAATATCCAGAGTATCAGAGTCACGTTTAACTTCATTAATATATTGAGCTACGTCTACCATCACCTCCCGAGCTTTACTTAACTGACGTAGATCTTCAGCCAGCTCACGAGGAGTCTCTTCAACAAGTTTGTCCAACAACAAGTGATACTTTAACACTCGTTGCATTGGAACTGATAGAATGTCACGAAGTTTGAACTTTCCATTGTTAGCTTCTTGTTGGCAACGAATAACTTCTTGATTAACAAGTTCATTCCGCGAACAAGCCTCTTGGAGGGTATTTTGGGCTACCGTTAAATTAGCACAATAATCACCGTAAATAAGGAACTTCTCTCGCCAATCGAGAAATACTTGAGCAATAGCAGCACCATTACGTGCTTTACGTAATTGACTATGCACACCTGCATGAATCTCAGATAAATCTTTAATACCAAAAAATATTCTTGCTGCATCTTTTGGACGTAGTAATGACGATAATGGACGAGCAAAATGTCGTAGAAGACTATTTAATACTTCGGAATAATTACGCTCTGTTTCAACGAGCTCTTGTATAACATAATCTCTTTTTTCTCCACCTGGAATAGTTCCTCCCTGTAAATTAATATTCATTTATTACTCTAATAATAATTAATTTAACCTGTTGAGGACATACGTGGAAAAAATTACGTTAGGGGTTACATAGGTTTCAAAAAATCGATTTTTTTTTTTTATTAAATTCTACAACATCTCTAGAATATTGTCCTAAAGTTTCAAATCGATCCGAATAATAGTTTTGGAGGTACAGTTTTAAAAAGTTGCGCGCTCAAAGCGCTGTTGTATTGTCACTCAAAATTTTAAATGCGTTTTTCTCAAAACTATGTTTTCAAAGACGGTTGTCAAGATTTCTCGAGAACTACTCAACCGATCTTGATGAAATTTTAGACAGGTTTTCGAGATATAATTTACAAGGTCTTGAACAAATAATTTTTTTTTTTAATTACTATTTAAAAAAAAAAATGCCGCGAAATTTTAGCCAAATTTTTAATTTTTTTGTAAAAACCTCTGCCAAAAATCCACTTTTTATTATTTTTTCCTTCGTTTAAAACCTAGTTTGAAGTCTTGACTATAACACATATTTTTTTTTTTCACTTCAAATAATCCTGCTAGAAGTTCTGCTTCATCTTTAAGACAGTAAAAAGTTTGAATAAAATATTTTATTTTTTCTATTAAAAAAAAAAAATGGTTGAAAATAGGCAATTTTTTCCCGGAGGAAACCCATGTAACTCCTTAAGGACACACGTGGTCCAGTGGACCCCACTTAGCAAAACAATTCTAATTCGTTTTCTATGTGATGTATTGACTTATAATTGCCACCAAACTTTAATATAACATTCCTTTTAAACATCTTAATAGTTATTTTTAATTATCAATACAAAATAAATATAAATAATTAATTACGGTTAAAAAAAATTTTTTTTTACATGCTTGATATATTTTTTAAATAAACAATTAGACCTCATGCAGGATTTTTGCGTTTGGCATTAAGTAAAATAATAATGATAATAAAATAAAAGAAAATAATAATGACCTGCGCGGCGCTTGGAGGAGGCGGCAGGTGTAGACTACAAAGGTCATGGTAGATCTCTTCGCTTTGTGCGTGACTACAAAAGGCCCCGTAGCCATCCTCTTCCTGGCCAACTGGGTCTTCAATTTCATCTCCTCCTCCACCACCTGCCTCGTCACCTTCTCGCCGTCGCGATCTTCTCCGGCGACCCTCAGTCTCACGACTAATTGCATAAAAAAAAAAACAACAACAAACCAAAAATAAGGCTCATGCACTACGCAAAATAATAACTGGCTTATCACCAATAACGCAGCATGATTTTTAAAATGAACAAAAAATAAAAATAAAAAAAATATTAAATAAATTTTTGCCAACGCTGGGATTTATCAGGTACTCTAATTACAAATCCTTTAAACTACAGACGTTAAATTAGTCTGTGTTTAATAGCAACACATAGTACCTCGGTTGTCGTAAAAGACCATTCGTGGTGAGCTGTTGTTGAAAAGCAGAGTAACTCTTGATATACTTGGGATTCATCAGGATCCACTGCTCTAGGTTTTATGGTAAATCCCACCTCTGTACTCGTGGGACTAAATTTATTTGTCGTAATATTTATATTAGCATGAGGAGATAGTTAGATTTATCTTTTTATGGTAGTGGGAAGATGAAGAAAAAAAAATTTAATCATAAATTTATGATCTGTGCTAGATGATTAGTTTTGGTTAAGTATTATTATATTTTTATTTATACTAACCCAACTCCTGCGCTCTGAAGATCTTTGTATGCATCTTCCTGTGACCGATCACGTCCAATAGTAAATCCTCTGTAATTAGAAATTATTTTTAGTAAATGTGAACTAAATAAATAGATTTAAAAATCATTTTATTAACATTTAAATAATGTGAAAAATAATAATCAATATCATTGAGAGAATAAGCAAAATTTTGTTATAATGATAAGTATTTAGGATGCATTCAAAAATGCTCTATCTCAAGATACATAATTAAGAAACAACCTTGTATCCAGTGAACTATTCATATTTTTAAAGATATAAGCTCACCCTGACATTACACTCATCGAGACATTTCATTTGAGTACCCACATCAACTTTTCATATATTTATATATATGTATGTATGAAAAATATATCAAAAATTCATGTGGGTACTCAAATGAAAGCTCTTGATGAGTGTAACATCAGGATGAGCTTATATTTTTAAAAACTTCAATATTTTAAAAAGTACAGTGCAATTTAACAAAATTCATTATTTAATAAAGCAAAATTTTATTTATTTATAGTTCCCAAGTCACAGCAGTCACATAGTAACTGCAAGGTTGCTAGTTTAACTTTTAATAAAATAAAATTTAGAATTTAAAATTTGGGTTGATGAAAAAAAGCAGCTTTATCTCCTAAATATGATAATAAAATGATTTCTATATTAATTTAAAAATACTCACGGAATGTTTTTACGACGAAATCTCGGCGAATGTGATAGGGCAGATAGCGTGCAAAGAACTTGATGAAAGTTTGACAAATCAAATAATACCGAAGGTTCAAATAGGTCGGAATCAGAAAGACCAAAGGTCGAGGAGCAAACAGTTAAAAATAATTTAATATTTCTCAGACATAAAAATTGTGCCATCTGTGGTTTTTGGCTAACATCCTTGATGTCAATGCATCCCGGATCTATTAAATTTAATAAATTACAAAGCAATACACCATCTCTGAGGGTGTACGCTAAATCAAATGCAGTAGCCGATGGCCAGTTGGCCTTGTGGTCAGCTCTAAGGGCTCCACATCTTGTCAACCAACTGGCACACTCCTGCCATCCAGTCTCAGAGTCAGTACCATTTTCAGTTGTACTCATTGTGCTGCTTGTACTTTTGGCAACCGTGTTAAAAAAATAACTTTAGTTATTGTTACTGTTTAAAAAATAATAATAATAATAATAATAATAACAATACTATTATTATTATTACTGGTATGTATATATATATATATATATATTTATCAATAGTTTAGATATTTTATTATCCCATGGAAGGAATGATTATCAGCTACACCAAAGTGTATTAATACTCCATTTGTTTTATTGGCACTGAAAAATAATAATAATAAATAAATAAAATAGTTCAATTTATTTTAATTAAAGTGTTTGTTTTATTTATCAATAGAAAAAAAAGAGTAACATAACAAGTACTCAATGTTTAACTGTGTGAAGATAGTCGAGTGATCAATAACAATTACCTTCAATTAGAATGAAGATTCAACCACATCCCGATCACTTTATGATAATATTACTGAGTATGGGATGCACGGTTCAATTTACAAACATCTGATCCATTGTCATGCATCTTCAACTTTAATTTCGGGTAACACTCGAATCTAATTACTATTATTTTGTAATTATTATTGTACATTTGACAATATGAGCCGAGTGATGAACTCATATTGTTTTTGGCACACTAATTTACACTATTATTTTTTTAACTACTATTATAAACACTCTTTATTTTTTTTTATTTATATTGTGACTGAGAGGGTGATGTTTAGGTGAGCTCCAGCCCAATCCACTCGTCAATGCCATCAACCACCGTCAACTAAGCGGGGAGAGGGAGAGTCGAGGTGCTAAGCAGAGTCCATTTTGATGTTGAGACCTTGAGCGCTCGTTGTGTCCAGAATGGAGTGTGATCTTCTGCTATCTCCTACGTCAAGAGTAAGATGTCGCTTTTTTAGTTTAACACCCGCTAAATATTTATATATTCAAATTTATTGACAGTGACATATTATAATTTTATTGTTGTTATATAATTATGAAAATCAAGTTAGTCATCTAAAAATTTTTATGTTTTTTTTTATTGAAGAATTATTACAAAAAAATTTTTTTCAATTGTTAAAAACTTCATGAAAATTAATGAAAATGAAGTTAGCTGACATTTCAAAATTTTTTTAAATTTTTTATTGAAGAAATTTTAATTAAATAATTAAAAAAAAAAATTCACATGTAAAAAACTTGAAGTGCAATTTTTTATAAATTTTTTTTTAGTTGTAATTTAATTTAAAAAAAAAATCAAAAATTTTTAGACGTCTATGCTAACTTCAGTGTCATGAAAATTAAGTTAGCTGACATTTAAAAATTTTTAGAATTTTTTTTTATTGAAAAAATAATTACAAAAGAATAGAAAAAAAATTGTCACTTGTAAGAAACTTTAAAAACTGTAAGTGGAATTTTTAAAAAATGTTTTTTTGTTCTAATTTAATTATTAAAAAAAAAATTAAAAACGTCGGCTAACTTTATAGTATTATAAAAACTTCAAAAACTATAAGTGCAATTTTCTAAAAATATTGTTTAGTTATAATTTAATAAATTAAGCAAAATTAAAAAATTAAAAATGTCGGCTAACACCTTATTGTTATACATAATTTGTGCTATAAACATGGAATTTTTTAAATAAATTTTTCTTACTATAATTGATTATTAGTTAAAAAGTTTCTAAAATTTGTCTGATGTCACTCAATTTTGGTATCATCATTCACAGCGCTTGATATTTTTTTTTTTTTATTTTTAAATAAATTATGAAGAAAATCTTTGCAAAATGTCACATGTGAGTATTGAAGACTACAAAGCACTTATTTAATTTAAAATAAAATAATTTTTCATGAATATTAAATAAAAATTATTTAAAAAACTTCAAATATTTTTAATAAACCCATTTATTATCATTCAATACATAAAATAATTCATTAATCACAATAACAAGACATTAAAATAAATTAATCAATACAAAAATAAGTTTCACTTATCAACACTAATGGAATTGACATGTCAGAGATTAATAATGTACTTTTTATAATATTAAATTGATATTTAACACTAATAATAGATCATTTTTTTAACCGCGTTATCTTCTTGGATATTTTTATCAATTGATAGTTTTATCATTCATAAATTATTTCTCCATCAACTACAAACCATTTAAAATTATTATCAATGTATACACTATAATTAACTATCACTAATTTATTAATCAACATACGCCTATCGGCAATATACATCAATAAAGAGTATTTAAAATTAAATAACATTAATTTAAGAGAAAAATTAATTAGAATTGAATCAAATGAAATGACAGTAAAGTTAGCAGACGTTTAAAAATTTTTGATTTGTTTTTATTAATTAAATTACAACTAAAAAGATATTTCTAAAAAATTGCACTTAATAGTTTTTTGAGTTTTTTACATGTGAAATTTTTTTTTTAATTTTTTAGAAATTTTTTTATTGAAAAAATTTTGTAATGTCGGCTAACTTCATTTTCATTCAAATAAATAATTAAAAATTAATTAATAATTAGATAACAAATCTCACTCTAATTAATCTCACTAATACTTACAATTATTATAATTATTGCTATAATTTTAAAAACATAAAATTTCTATAATTACATTAGACAAATGAAAAAAATTCAACGCGTATTTGTTTGTATTATTTCGATCAATAAATTTTTTCGATACTTGTCATTTTTAGTAAACAATTATAAAACAATAAAACAATTTTTTATTAGAGTATTATATATAAAACTAGATTTAAGAGTATTTCTTGCCGCCCGATCAAATTTTTCTTTTAACAGTCAATTGTCGCGTGCCCGGTGCTCAAAATTTCTTCTTAACACAATATTCTTCTCTCATACATACCATACAAGTGAAACTAAAAAATGCGTTGTAATAAATAAATAAGCCGCTATGTTGCACGCGCGATCGATTAATTTTTCATCATTAGCTCGTGATAATTTGGAAAATTATATTTTACCTCAGATTATTAATGTTTATTAATTAAATCGTCCAATTGCTACACTTGATCATTTATAATTTCGTCACGCCAGTTATCATTGTCATACGTATGATTATTATTATCGTACCAATTTTTTGATTTTTTATACTGAGATGATCTGAAATTGTTAATATAGGCACAAGCTGTCTTTTTAAAAATGAATTAGACAATAAAAGAAGTACAACCACGGTCAAAAATGTAATTTGCAAAGACACTCTCTATATTGACGACAAAATATTCATGTTTATATTCAACCCAAAAATTTTTTTAACAACTGCAAAAATAATTATACTCTTAAAAAATAATAATTGTATAAATAGATAAATTAAAAGTATAAAATATAAAAAAAATATTAAAATAAGTGAAATGTTAATTATAAATAATTATTTTTTATGCCAATATATTTTCATTAATTATGTAGCAATAAGTTTACTTATTCATACAAAAAAAGTGAAATTATATTAACATAAAAAAATATTTAATTATCTAAAAGCGACAAAATACTTCTTAATTTTTTAATTATTTTTTTAGTTGTTTTATTTATTTTTTAAGTAATTAAATTATTAAATTTCATGACTACCATTACGCTGAAGCAATTATGAATATTTTTTTATTGACTACAAGCATGAGTATCCTGTTGTCAATAAAGAGGCTGTTGATGAAAATTAAATTTTTACACGCGCGTGTAATTCTTTTATTATCTGACTCAGTTCTAAAAAGACAAAAATTGCCGATATTAACAAGCGCAGATTATCGTAATATAAAAAATCAAAAAATTGATGCGATCAAAATAGTCATAGGTATGACAAATTATAACTAGTGTAACGAAATTATTAACGACAAAGAGTCAGCGATTAAATGATTTAATCAATAAATATTAATACTCAGAGAGAAAATATAATTTTCCGAATCATCACGATCTAACGACAAAAAATTAATCGACAGTACGTGTAACATAACGATTTGTTATTTATTACTCCACGGTTTTTATAGTTTTATTTGTAAATATTATGTTAGGAAAAATTTTAAGTTTTAAAAAAATTTTGTACACTGGACACGCAAAAACTGGCCGTTAAAAGAAAAATAAAATCAGATGGCAAGAAATACACTTCAATTTAATTTCGTATATTACTTTAATACCAAATAATTGTATGATTGTTTAAAAAAATTGACAAGTATCCAAAAAATTTATTTATCGAAATAGAACAAACAAATATGCGTTGAAAATTTTTCATTTGCTTATATAATTATCGAAATCTGTGTGATTTTTAGAATTATAATCGCAATTATAATATTTGTAACTATTTTTTATGGTGAAAAAAAATTTTGTACGACGCGCAAGCCATAAGTTTGCATATAAGAAAGATAATCTCGCCCTTGAAGTTTTAAATTCATTGTATTGAACTTTAAATAGTTGTTCTGATATTATTGTTAATTTATTGAAAAATATTCATGTTACTTTCAGCGTAATAATATTAAATATGGAATAAAAGTAAGATATTGCAAAAATTAAAGTAATTAGTTTTTTGTAAATTAAAAATTTTAAATTGCTGATTGTCGATTTTAGGTAATTAATTAATTAAGATACAAACTATTGTGAGATGTTGAATTTTTTTTTCAGATAGTTGTCATGATGTCTTGTAGAACGAATTTTAAATACAGTTTGCTATAGATGTTGAAGATTTTTCGATTACATGCTGAGTTTTTCGGGAAGAATATGGTACGTTTTTTATCTGTGAAAAGAAATAAATAGCATAATTTTTATTTGTATTACAATATTTAGTGTTTTACAAAACTGTAACTATTTTACAATTATAATAATTATTTTTAACCCTTTTCTTTGGTCCACTCTTTTTTATAAGTACACACCACTCACCATAAAACAATTTAATTTATTACAAACTCATACCTTAATTAAATTTAATTATTTTTTTAAATATCACACTTTTTACAGCTTTTATAACAAAGGATAATTTTTATACTAAACAAAATTACTAGTTTTACATTTCTGTCTAACTCTTATGTTTAATTTTATCTTAAATTGAAATCAAATTAAATTTAACTAAGTTAAGAGGATCCAATAAAATAAAGTGTATTATAGAGAGTGTACTTATTAAAAAAAAAGTGTACCGAAGAAAACGCGGTTGAAAAATAATTATTATAAATGTAAAATGGTAATAGTTTTGTAAAACATTTAATATTCACTGAGAAAAAAAAATTTTTGTTTAGAAAAAAATTTCTTGGCTCAAGAATTAAATCGTTTAATTATTTTGGTTTTTTGACAAAAGAATATCAATATATATCATGATAATAAAATATTGTTATTAATTTTGATAGATTAACAATCGAATAGGTTCACTTTAATTAAACAAAAAATAATTCGATCTATTTTTGAGACAAGAAAATAAATTCTTGAAAATTATCAAGAATACTTATTCCGGTGACAAGATAATTTTCTCAAGAATAGTACTTTTTTTTCTCAGAATTATGATAAAAATAAAATTCTATTGTATTAATCCAAAATTTTGAAAAATCAAAATATTGTTCTTTTTTTTTAGATTGATTTTTGTCTTTCCAAAAATTAATTTTAAATAAAATTCCAAATTTGGAATAAAATTAAAATATTTAAGGATTAAGTGAATTATTATTATCAATAATTAATATAAATTTTACCTTTGAATAAAACAGACTTAAGTTTTCATCAATCATGGAATTTCCTACACAAGTATCACGGCTGATTGATGATGAGATTAAAGTTGTGAATTGACTTCACTGAAACGTAACTAGAGTTATTTGAAGACTGCGAAGCGTATTCACAAGGAAGTTCACAGCACCCAACCACCAAAACACAAGTGTTTATTCAGAGAATCTTGATTTACGATCTAAGGTGAGTTTGAGTTATTCAACGTTGAAATCAATCTTGAGTAGTTTATACCTATTGATAAAAATGTAATAATTAAATTTAGTGACAAATAAAACTTACAGTATAATTAGTGAATAATGATAAATTTTCTTACCTTGTAGACGGAAGATACTGATAGTTTGTCAAAATGAGAAGACATTATTTTTTATTTCACAATTTTAAAACGACAAAAATTATTTTTAAGGAAGTAATATTTTAGGAATTAAATAATAGTAACTTAAAAGTTTTTAAATAATTTATAGTGACTGTTAAATAATTTGAATCAATATATTCATATTTGTTACAAATATATTGAATACAATAGCGAAATGAGCGGCTGATTTTTTAGAGAACATTTTTACTCGCTTTGCTTTAACGATTGTGGCTCATCCGGGGAATTGAACATTTTTATATCCTTCCCCGGTGAAGACAGTCAGTGTCGTATACATCAGGTCCAGTAAAAAATTTTGTGCTTTAAATTTAAAAAATTACCCTTTTAAAACTGTATTTATTTATACGACACTGTTTGAAAGGAGAGAAAGGGTTGAAAAATTGGTTAAAAATTAGCATCTATCCATTCACAATTTCGCACGTAACATATGCGAGCTAGTAATATTTTATGATTGGTTCTGTTGTCATCTAGATCTCCATAAGCCAACCGGAAAGCTTCACATAGCTGTAATAAGCCGACGTGTCCTTTGTATCGATTGATCATTTTAAGTTTTACTAACTTCATTTGAAACGGATAGTGTAGAACATATATCTGAGTTCTCTATTTTTAGATCGTTCTAGTTTGGTCATATGAAAATTATAAAAAGTATTGATTAATTTTTAGACATATAATATATTTTGTCCTATATTTCTTCTTTACAAGAATTGAAGTATAAAAATAAATAGGAAAATTTATTTAAAATTTAATTTATAATAAGTCAAACTGGCAATTAAAAACTGGCTAAAAATGATCTCTGATGTAGTGTAAATACTTTATTTAAATTTAAAAATAAAAAAATTAAAAAAAAATTATTCTAATTTAAAAAGAAAAAATACTAATTTGAAATTTTTAGAGATTATTATTTTAGCAACTGAATTTTGAGCTATTGCTTAAATAAATAATTTCTAAAATACTATAAAAAAAAAAATTCGACAAAGCTTGGAACTGTTGCGAAGAAGCTTACGTGTCCTTTAGGCCGATCGATCGTCGTAAGCTTCATGTTCACCTTGATGAAGCACGCATGTATCCCAGTTTTTTCTTTCTAGTTCATATGCACAATAATTATTTTGACAAGTATTGATTTAGAGACCTACTTCCTGATCATAATTATGTATTTTTATTAAATGAGCACAAAAATATGGCAAATGTATTTTAATTTACATTCACATAAAAATATTTTAAACTTGAACAATAATCATAAAAACAGTAATGTTAATATTTAATTTTGTTGAAGCTTTAAATTAGATTCTATTATGCTGGAATTACAGAATAATAATATCTATCATAATTATCTGAAAAATTACTTGTATCATTAAATGTTTTCTTCAAATAATTTTCGCTCATATAAATAGTATTATTCATGCTTATAAGTTTTGGCGCAATGAATCCTCCATATCCATCTTGACCATTATAATGAAGCCCGACACCACCAATAGGTGCTGGAGGATTAGCAACCACTTCTTGCATATCTATAAAAGGAATTAAAGTCTGACCGGCGTCTATCGCCCAACCAGTCATTTGAAATTTGACGTAATGCTTTCCTGGTTCGCTTAGTTCGCCATTCTTTTTCTTGCCTAATGTTGGAATGTCGAGATCACTTTTTGTTATTTCATTTCTAAAAAAAAAAATTAAAGTTTACTTAAAAATAATTTATAGTATTGTATATTGTAAAAAAAAATTATCTCTAATGTAGGGTAAATACTTTTAGTGTTAAAAATTACTCTTTTACAGTTTTTTATTTTGTACACTGAGAAAAAAAAGTACTACTCTTGAGAAAATTTTTTTGTCACAAAAATATATATTCTTGATAATTTTCAGGAATATATTTTATTGTCTCTTGTCTCAAGAATTGATTGAATTAATCGAATTATTTTTTGTTTAATTCAAGTGAACCTATTCGTTTGTTATCATGATAGATGTAGATATTCTTTTATCAAAAAACCAAAATTTATTTTAAACGATTCTTGAGCCAAGAAATTTTTTTTGGACAAAAAATTTTTTTTTCTCAGTGTAATAAAATAATTTCAAATTTCTAGAGATCAATTTTACAGTCAAGTTTTACGGAGTATTACCTGTTAAAATTATTCGTTCCTAAAAACCAGTGTACATCATGAGAAATAATAGGATTTCCTAATTCATCAATGATTTTTACTCCTGCTATTTGTAGAACTATAGGATTTCCGCGTGAATGTTGGAATTTAACACCTATAATTAAAATGGTACTAAAATTAACCGACGTTTAACAATTTTTTATTTTTTTCATTAATTAAATTACAAGTAAAAAAAATACTTAAAAAAAATTCCACAGATAATTTTTAAAATTAACATGTGAAATATTTTTCTTTTAATTTTTTTATTATAATTTTTTCATTCAAAAAATTATAAAAATTTCTAGGTATCGGCTCATATTTAATTTTTATATAATTAAATATGGACAATGTTTAAGAATACAAAATTAAAAAAATTTTTACCAACAACAGCCCAGCCAGCAGGCAATATTATGTCGTCCAAATTTAATATTCTATTATGATAACTGAGTTCAGTTAAAACACTGGAGGCATAATCAGGTGTCTGATTATTTTTTTCCATATCTTCAAGCTTCTTGGTAACTCTATCATCCCATTTGACGGTCGTGTTGTCAACAGTTCCATTTACTAAAACTCCTTGTTGTACTTCAAAGTAAGTAATTGATAATTTTGTGACTAAGCGGATTCCAGTGATAAAACTCTACAATAAATAAAAGCAGAACAATTAAGAAAGAAAAATAATATAACAGATTACTGTTATTATTAATAATTAAAGAAGAATAATTGTCAATCCAGTCAATCACCGGTTTGTAAATGGAGTATCCCAGTATTGTGATGTCAAATTAATATAAGCGCTTTTCTTCGAAAGTGAAGGCTGCGAACAAAGGTATTTACTGAAGTCTAGAGTAGTACAACCCATAATCGTAGTCACAACCTTCAGTTATCCGACCTTTATAATACCACTGCAGATCACCGCCTTTTACTCTTGCATAACAGTAGCGTTGTTTGCTATTTACTGGCTGTAATAATTAAGATTACAATTAAATAATTAAATTTTTAATAATCTAGCAGTCAAGTCTATTAACTAAAAAGTCATTAATTACCGCCAAATAAGCTTCTACAAATTATTCATCATACATTTTATCATAAAGAAATCCATCACAAAAGGACACTGAGCGCTCAGAATAATAATTGACATAGCTCATAATGTAGTCTCTGTTTTCTATCATATAATCATTAGATACCAAAGTTGTCAAAAATTGATAGCTTTCGTAGTTTTCACCTATCGATAATTAGAAAAAAATTGATACTGAAATCAGCATACATTTGACAATTTTTTATTGAAAAAAATTATTTTAAAAAAAATTGAACATTTAGAAAGCTTGAAAAATTTTAAGCGCAATTTTTTTAAAGATATTTTTTACATTAAAATTAATTTAGCAGATATTTGATAATTTTAAGAATTTTTTTAACCAAATTATGACAAAAGAAAAGTAGAAAAAAATTGATATGTAGAAATTAAAAAAAATAAAAAATGCAATTGTTTTTAAATAATTTTTTTGAAAAAATTTATTTGTTAAAAAAAAATTAAAAAATGGTTAAGTGACTGCTAACTTTAATGTAATTTTTTTGACTTATAATTTTTATTGATTAAAAAAATCTAAAATTGTCAAATGTCTGCTAATTTTAGTATCACAATTTTATAAAAATTAAATTATTAAAAAAAAAATTCAACAAGCGAAAGTTAAAAAAAATTATTATTAGTGTCAAAAAAATTCAATTCTCACCTTCTTTAAATTTTTCAGAATCACAACGACGGATTGCTTTAGATTCCATCTCCCCAACCGATCGTGCAACTTCGGCGATTTTAAGCGCTGTTTCTTTATAATCATCCAAAGTGTCACGTATTTCTGGTTTCCATGCATCAGTTAAAGATTATTAATAACGAACTTCATTATTGACAATGATTTAATCATAAAAAATTAATTATTTATACACATACCTGGATTCGTTGAGTTAAGTTGACGGTATCGGTAAGCATGCACTACCATGGCGTATCCTTTAGATAGAGTTGTCATTGCAAGATTGAAAACTCCAAATATCAAGTCGTATGAAGATTCTCCTTCGTTACATTCACAAAGATGGTTTTTCTTTAATAAATAAAAATTAAATTAAAAAGAACTCTAAATAAATTAATAAAATTAAGTTTTGTATTTTTCATAATACTTTTACTTTTATCTTTATATAATCATGCAGTATTTCAAAAACTAATTTCTCATCTACATGTGGAATATAGTGATTAGGTACAGTATACTCTTGTATCCGAGCTAAAGCTCTTTTAAAATCTGACGAATAGATCGTTTCATTAATATAATTTTCGATAGTTTCACAGGTTGATACGTATCATTGTCGGTGAAGTGTACTTCAAGAATTTCTTCTCAAATCGCTCATTTATTTCAAACACAACACGAACGAATTTACCCACGATCTGCATATCAATTTTTACCTTGAGCTCTTCAATTATACGATTTGCTTCGTCTGTTATCAAAGACTCAATCCTCGCAGTGCTTTGACGAATTTCATCTAACGCGTTGATCACATCTTGTTGAAATTTGTGATTTTTTACTGAAGAATCAATCGCTATAAGAGCTTGAATTACCTTCCAGCCAAATTTAGCCACTTCTATAAGACCCTTTGGATTTATTTACGAAGAAGAAGGCGTAATTGATAAAATCAGTAATACGCATAATGATTTAATTTTTAAATTCATTTTTTGGATAAATTTAATCACCCTTTTCTGTATTTTAGATCCTACAAAAAAAAGAAACTCTGAAATTTCAGAGTGCTAACTGGACAATCTAATCAGAGCTTGCTTGTTTTTATACAAAAATCGTTTCCTTTGTTCACTTTTAGTACAGTCATATTCAAAATTAAAACTACGCTTTAAATTATACTGTTATATTTTTATTGTAAATATAATTGATACCTAGTATGAAAAATTTTTAAGAGACTTAATTTTTTTTTTTCCAAATTTATATTCTTCTTTCTTAAATTCAGAAGTATAATTATCGGTTATTACAAAATATTATAATTATTTTAGTTGAATATAATTATTTTCTATGACTGTACTTTTTAAAACTTAATCTACATTTCAAAGAAACTATTAGCCATTACTTTATAGATTTTATTTAATAGCTTTGAAGATTAGACAAATGGACTGTGACTCATACACACATCTAATGGATGCAAAAAAAAATAACAAGGCGCAATTACGAATTTATATAGAAAAAATATTAATAACTATAACAGATAATTACTATAAATCCAGATATTTTTTATGAAGAAATTTAATATGTATACGACTTATAAGATGAAGATGATATATAATTTATATTTTATTTATTTATATATTTATCAAAATTTTAGACCTTGAAGCTTTAGCTCCCTAAGGGCCTTACACATAAATGAATACATAGTAATAATAAAAGTAGTTAAACAGTAATGGAAATTATAATAATAATAATAATAATAATAATAATAATAATAATAATAAGAAAAGTAACGTATATAAATTATTATTATAAATTATTTCTCATGAATAAAATTATCAAAAAATTTTTTACAAATATATTTATTAAAAATCACAAAAAAAATCACATAAAATATAAAAATACTGGATACAAAATAGATTATATTATTTTATGTAAATATGACATTGTATTCTATAAAATTTTGATTTGAACAATCTCCCAAGAGCTCGTAGAAATCAATTGTGGCGGTGTCATTGAAAATATTATTTAAATACTCATCACTCATTAAAATAGTAGTATTAAGACTTATGAGTTTTGGAGCAATGAATCCTCCAAATCCTTGTTGGCCTTTGTAAAATAGCCCAATACCTCCAATTGGTGCTGGTGGATGAGTAATGACATCTTGTAAATCTATAAAAGGATACAACGTCTGACTACCGTCTATATTCCAACTGGACATTTGAAATTTGACGAATTCTTTTCCTCGTTTGCTTAATTCTAAATTCACGTTGTTACCGAGTGTTGGAATATCAAGATCACCTATTTTTAATTCAGTTCTACATGACACAAAAAATTACAATATTTATCTTTAAAAAATAAAAATTGAAAAATTAAATAATAAAGCCCACCTATTAGAATTATTTTTGCTGAACCATTCCACTGTTGATGAAGAAATAAATTGTCCTGATTCGTCAACTATTCGCATGCCCGCTACTTGAAATGTCAATTGGTTCTTCACAAGTTTAAATTGAACACCTGTAATCATAACAAATATCATTGATTTAAATTTATGAAGTTGTTCGACACTTTCAATTTTATTCTAATTAAAAAAATAAAATGCTCTCAAAAAACCAATTATCTTAAAATTTTTAATTAAAAAATTATATTAATTAATTTATTTTTTTTTAATTAAAATAAAATTGCAAGTGTCAATAACTGGGTCCTTTACCTTACACAGAAAAAAATAATTTATTTGAATTAAGCGAATAATCTTAAACTAAAAAAAATTTTTTTTTGGTTTAAGCAAATTTGACTTGATTCAAAAATTTTTCGTCTTAATTCAAGACAATAAAATTCTTCAAAATTATTTTCTTAATCCAAGAATTTTTCTCTTGATTCAAGGTAAGGTAGTACCTTCACGAAAAGCATATTTCAAGAAACTTATGGAATTTTTTTTATCGAAAGATAAAATTCTATAAATAATTCACCACCAAAATTTCAGATCAATTTACCGCACCGTTTTTGAGTAATTAATTTTCGAAATTGCATCTTTTACACGTAGAGGTATATAGAGAGATGGTAAAGTTAGTATGAAATTTATTTGCATCACTCAAGTGGTACGGAAAATTTCATATACTGACTTTACATCTTTTACACGTAGAGGTATATAGAGAGATGGTAAAGTTAGTATGAAATTTATTTGCATCACTCAAGTGGTACGGAAAATTTCATATACTGACTTTACCATCTCTCTATACTTCTACGTGTAAAAGATGCAATTTCGAAAATTAATTACTCAAAAACCGTGCGATAAATTAATCTGAAATTTCGGTGGTGAATTATTTATATATTTATCTTTCAATAAAAAAAATTCCATAAGTTTCTTGAAATATGCTTTTCGTCGAGGTACTACCTTAAGTTTTTTTTTTTTTTTTTTTTTTTTTCAGTATAAGAACTTTATTTGTTATATTTTAAAAACTTACCAACGGCAACCATTCCAGCTGGCAAATCTACATCATCTAAATTTAAAGATCTCAAGTTATAAGTGAGTCTAACTAAATCACCTTCCGTATAAGAAGGCAAGAGATGATTAATTTCGTAATAGTCTAGGTGTCTAGTGACCCTATCATCCCACTCGACAGTAGTATTGTCAATAGTACCATTCACAAGAACTCCTTGTTGAATTTCAAAGTACGTTATTGACAATTTAGTAACCAAACGAATTCCTGTTATAACTCTGTAACGATAATCAGTCAATAAATAATTCATTTTAAATGTAAAAAATAATTGATCAAATTACCGATTATTATTGAAGTCAGAGTATTGCGCTGTAGTATTAAAATAAGCAGCTTTTTGACTAGAAACAGGCTCTTCACAAATGTATCTGTAGAAGTAAAACTTCCACTGCCATTTAGAATGATTTAATCCATAATCGATTTCACAGTCTTCAGTTTCACGACCTTTGTTATAATAGTACAAATCTCCTCCCAATACTGATACGTAGTCATAGCGTCGTTTGCTATTCACTGGCTGTAAAAATTACTATAAAGTAATGAAATAATTTAATAACTTGATGGTCAATATAGTAATTTACCGCCAGACAAGCTCCTAAAGACCATGCTTCATAGATTTTATCATACATATGTCCATCGCAAAATGCAGCTGTTCGTTGATTTGTATAAAGACCGTCTATAATGTATTTTCTATTGTTTAATATATAATCATTGGTAACAAAAGTTGTTAAGAACTGGTAACTTTCATAATTTTCGCCTAAAAAAAAAATAAAACTCATTTAAACTTAATAAAATTTTTAAGTACAGAAAAATAAAATACTAACCTTCTTTATATTTTTTAGGATCACATCGACGAATTGATCTAGATTCAATTTCCGCGATAACTCGCGCAGCTTCGGCGACTTGATGAACCGTCGTTTGAAATTCCTCCAAAGCGTCTCGCATTTCGCACTTGTATGTTGTATCTGATTAGAATAATTTACATACATTATTAAAATATACATAATTTCATGGTCATAATTAGGTTTATAAAAATTATTTTATACATACTAGGACTTGCAGAATGCAATTGAAGGTATTTGTAAGCATGGGTCACCATAGAGTATCCTTTCATTACTCCAGTCATCGCAAGATTAAACACTGAGAAGATTTGATCACTTGCCGATTCTCCTTCATCGCAATCACGAACATAACTGGCCTGCAAAATCAAAAAAATTATTTAATTAAAATAAATAATTGCTGATATTTATAATTGTCGGTCAATTTTTTGAATTTTTATAACTAAATTATTGTAAAATTAAAAAAAAAAAAATTCCACATCTAGAAATTAAAAAAAATTACAAGTGCAAATTTTTTAAAAATATTTTTTTTTAATGAAGAAATTATTACAAAAAAATCCACGCATGGAAAATTAAAAAAATTTTTTTTTATTGAAGAAATTATTACAAAAAAATTAAAAGAAAAAATTTCACGGATGGAAAATTTGAAAAACTATACGTGCATTTTTTTTTTTTTAAGTATTATTTTACTTGTAATTTAATTGTTGAAAAAAAATCAAAAATACTAAAGTTAGCCGACTTTTTTAATTTTTTTTATTTATCAAATAAGAACTAAAAAATTGCACTTATAATTTTTCACATTTTTTACAATTGAAATTTTTTTTTTCACTTTTTCATAATAATTATTTCAATAAAAAAAAAATTTTTTTAATTTTTAGATGTCGGCTATCATAATTTTCATGTTCTTGATACTCACTTTTATTTCCAAAAAATTACGCAGTATTTCAAACACACCAGGTTTAAGATTCTCAGGTACAGCAAACTCTCGTATCTTAGACAATATTTTCCTGAATTTAGACTCATCAATTGTTGCATTAATGTAACTTTCAATTGTCTCGGGTTCATACGTTTCATTTCCGACAAAATATTTCAAAAATTTATTTTCAAACCGTTTATTAATTTGATCAACAGTTTCAACAAACTTGTGGACGATTTGCATGTCGATTTTCAACGATAACTCTCTGATGATGCGATCAGCTTCGTTGGTTATCAAATATTCAATCCGCGCAGTGCTTTCGCGAATCTCACCTAATGCATCAATTACATCGTCTTGAAATTTATCGTCCTTGATGAAGGATTCTATTTCAAGAATGGCTTTGATTGCCTTCCATCCAAATTCGACGACTTTTACCAAAGCTTCAGGGTTTATTTCTCCAGAAACCGGTGTAATTGTAATTGCCAATAGTGCGCACACAAACACACCAATTTGTCGCTTTAAATTCATTTTTTATTTTAATTTCTTATGAATTATGTCTATTTACACCATATATTTACGCATTACATACACAATTATCAGTTTTAAATTTATTCAGGCCTTTGGCAAACTCTACGTTGAAATTCTCTTATAAGTGTCTTGTATCAGCTACATATGTTGATAAATAATGATGTCACCAGAAAAATACTTAGAACGGAATCCCATATGAACATAACAATAATATTTTAACTCATTATACTATAGATATCTGAAATATGAACGTGTTTAATCAAAATTCAAGTACAGTAATAATACAAAAGTACAGTATCATACAAAAATATATCTTCAAGATACTTACTCAAATTTTCAATAATACTAAAGTTAGCCGACGTTTTTAATTTTTTTTTTTAATAATTAAATTAGAGCAAAAAAATATTTTTTAAAAATTACACTTACAGTTTTTAAAGTTTTTTACAAATGAAAATTTTTTTTATAATCATTTTTTTAATGAAAAAAAAATCTTAAAAATTTTTAAATGTCGGCTAATTTAATTTTCATAAATTTTACTCATTTTTTATATTATATTTTAAACAATACACTGAACCTTACATTAAAGCCATTAAGCGGGTTCCATCAGAAAAAAAAATAAAAATTACATTATATTTAATAATAATACTTATAAGTAATAGTAATAGTAATAACTCTGTATTTAGTGTAATAAGTAAGTATATAAAATGCTCTGGCTGAGTCTTTATTTGATAAACATATTATATTATATTTTATTTTATATTAAAATAAAATTGGTGATGTTAAAATATTTCAAAATTTAATTTAAAAAAATCTATGAAATTTAACAAGAAATTCCTGACTTTGCATGACACTGAAGTTAGAAGACGTGTAAAAATTTTTGATTTTTTTTATTAATTAAATTACAACTAAAAAGATATTTATAAAAAATTGCACTTACAGTTTTTCAAGTTTTTTACATGTGACAATTTTTTTTTTAATTGTTTAATTGAAATTTTTTCATCAAAAAATTTCTATAAATTTTGAAATGTCGGCTAACTTCATTTTCATGACTTTGCTCATATTAAACATATTAAAAAAAATTAAATTCTAAAAAAATAATTCACATCTGCATTTTTTTTTTTTAATTCTTTTTATAAAAAAATTTTAATAAATGCAAAAATAAAGAAAAATTATTAGTGGAAATTTTTTAAAGCATTTTTTTTTTTATTATAATTAATTTGTTATAAAAATAAAAAAAATTGACAGCTGTCAGTACCATAAAAATACATAATAATATTGATCTTTTATTTTTCTAATAATTAATTTTATTTGTTACGTTAAAAAGAAAAAAACTGTCAGATGTTTATGATAATTAAGTTAGCCGGGAACTAAAAATTTTTAGAATTTTTTTTATTGAAAAAAAATTTATTTTGTAAACAATTTGAAAAAATATAAGTGCAATTTTTAAAAAATATTTTTTAGTTCTAATTTAAAAAATTAAAACTTTATTATTGTTAGATGTTTTTTCATTTTATTTTAGCATTATTCATGGCACATATTATTAATAATAAAATTATAATAATTAAAAAAAAAACAATAAATGTCAACAATATAAATAACCTCGAATAAATGAAGTTATAAATAATACCATGCGCAAACTGTCATTACTCCAACTATATTTCTTTCATTCTACCAATCTCCATGTGATCAGTTTATTTTCTGCAGATCTAATGCGCAAAGCAGTCTGACTCATAAGATTAGTAGTTAGCAGTAAATAAAAAATAGTTTTTAAAAATTAAATGCTGATTTAACAGTTTAAAAGTTATTATCAGCCACGTGACTAGACATATATTACCAGATTTAAAAGCCATGAATCTTTTGTCTTCTATTTACTAATAAAACACGCTCTGTACTTTTCTCAGAGAATTTAAGATCACACATAACATACCTACCACAAGTAGAATATAATAATAAAAGAAAAGAGCAAGAGTGGGAATGTGGAAGTGGAAACATAACATAAAACATCAGCTCCGTCAGCTGACTAGTTGACACTACCAAAAGCGCCAGCAGTTGGTAGAAAAAATACTCTTGACACTTAACTCGGATTCGATGATTTGTAGATTTTTGAATCCATTTATCAGCGCGCGCATTTGACAATGTATTTAGCTTACATTTTGTTAATAATTTACACAACTGGTGTTGTTAATAGTGGTCAAAATAAATTACAATGCAAGGACGAAGCTGGCAATGATGTCGATTGGTAATTATTCATCTATTTTATTCATTTATAATTTTTTAAATCTAGTTTTAATTTTTTTATAAAACTTAAATTAGCTGACGTTTAATTTAGAACTAAAAATTATATTTTAAAAGTTGTTCTTAAAGTTTTTTTTCAATAAAAAAAATTATAAAAATTTTTAAATGTCAGCTAACTTAATTTTAATTATTTTTTTTTAATTTTTTTTCTTTTTTACAGGTATGTTTTGTACAAAGTACCAAAAACTTCTGAAAGTAGTGATCCAATAATCCGAAAGGGTCTAGCATATCTTTACATAACTAGTGATACAGTTGCTAATGGATGGCAATTATCGAAAAAAGAAATCGGATCCAAGGATTCGGTGCCAGGAAAAACTCTATCTTCATTGTACAAAGATGTGAGGATAACAATAGGTTTAAAAATAACAATATTCTTCTTTTGAAGATAAATTTTTAAGATTAATAAAAATTTTTTCTTACAATTTTAAAGTTTTTAAAAACGTCAAAAGTTTTATCTAAAAAAATAAATTTTAATGAATTAGAATTTTTTCAATGTTTTATAAATAATATAAATTTGTTAATTTTTTCTTGACATAATTGTATTTTTATCTAAATTACACAAACAACATACTTACGCAGTATCAAAAAAAAAAAAAAAGAATGCTTGAATTTAAATGAAAAGCATTTAAAATTTCAATTTTTTCGATTCGTTTTTTTTAATAATTTTAAAATTCAGGACAATATTAATTAATTCCATTATTAAAATCTATAAGTAAAATCCAGGGTATGAGTTGAATATTAAAACTGATATTTTTATTATTAAATTCCCCGAATTTTTAACTGTAATACAATTATTACTTTTTAATAAATACAAAAAAATTCTGTGCAACCTAGATAAAAATTACAGTTTAATTAAATTATCAAAGTTATTTTTAATTAATTAATTTTGTCTTTATCGCATTAGTAATTAGTGAGCCATTAGACAATAAATGTTTTATTGAATTTAAAAAAATATACTGAAGAAATATAAACAAAAAGTTGTTATAATTCAAAATTATCAGATATTAATTACTGATATGTGTCTTAAATAAATTTTAGTAAATTTATAGCAGCGAATATAGAAAATTATTGGCTTTGTTACAAGTTCTGACAAAAATCAATACTTGCTAGACTATTAATAAAACTAATATATAATTTATTTATTTATTTATTTAGGACTTGGCGACAGATATATTATGGATTTTATACAATGATCAAGCACCGAATAAAAATCAAAGTAGCGTTAGATACGGACATACCAAAGGTGTGTTGATGACTGATAACACTCGCGGCTTTTGGCTGATTCACAGTGTACCAAATTATCCACCTGTGCCTAAAACTGGAACGGAAAATAAATCCCGAAAATTGAAACACTCGGAACAGAGAGAAGCTGGAGATACTAATGATGATCATAATAATAATAATAATGATGATGATGGTAATATGAATATGGATGTTGATAATGATGATATCCATAATGATGTGCCCGATGGCGAGTATGCGTATCCAAAGTCTGGACAATTATATGGGCAGAGCTTCCTGTGTATATCGATGGTCTCCAACCAGATGAACGCTGTTGGTCTACAGTTAATGTATAATCAGATAATGACATATCGGTACAATTTACCCGAAGTAATGGTTAACGAATACCCGAGCCTCGTTAATGCATCCAAACATGTGAGGCCGAAAAAGGCCCCTTACTTTCATAAAGAAGAAATAGTTTCTTCTGGAGGACAAGAATTTATTTCGTTTGCTAAATCTGACAAGTGGCAGAAAGGTAGTTCATGAATTTTATTAATAACTTACTTAGTATTAATTAGAAATAATTATTTAAATACATATTCATGACTCTTGAGGGTTTGAATATTAAGAAGCGATTTATTTTATAAATTATTCATACGTCAATTTTATTTTAAATTACTCCAAGATTAATTTGATAGTTTATAAACATTATTTAATTATTTTAAATTAGCAACCTTACAGTTACTAGATGAACTATAAATAAATAAAATTTTGCTTTATTAAATAATGACTTTAGTTAAATTGCACTGTATTTTTTTAATTATTGACGTTTTTAAACATATAAGCTCATCCCGATGTTACACTCATCGAGAGCTTTCATTTGAGTACCCACATGCATTTTTGATATATTTTTCATATATACATCTATATAATATATATAAATATATAAAATATATGAAAAATTGATGTGGGTACTCAAATGAAAGGTTTTGATGAGTGTAACATCAGGATGAGCTTATATCTTTAAAAATGTCAACAGTTCACAAGATACAAGGTAGTTTCTTAATTATGTTCAATTGTACTGTACTTTCTTAACTATTGACGTTTTTAAAGATATAAGCTCATTCCGATGTTACACTCATCAAGAGCTTTCATTTGAGTACCCACACGCATTTTGATATATTTTTTATATATTCATATATACATTTATATAATATATATAAATATATGAAAAAATGAT